CCAGGGCGGCGGCAAGGTACTGTCTCCCCTCCACGTTTCCCCCTCGCTCTCTGTTGCACCCAGCTCACAAAGTCAACGGACGTACAGGGCTACCAGGACGAGTCGCTGCGCCCCGTCACCATCAAGCAGATCCTCGACGCCGAAGAGGCCTACCCCGGCGCCGATTTCAAGATTGACGGCGCCACCGTCACCCAGGTCACCTTCGTCGGCCAGGTCCGCGCCATCAACCCCCAGGCCACCAACATCACCTACAAGCTCGACGACGGTACTGCCACCCTCGAGGTCAAGAAGTGGGTCGACACGGACAAGAAGGACGACGACCTCATGGACGGCGTCGCCGGCGGCCCCGGCTCCGGCTCCGGCGTCGACCTCGACGCCTACGTCCGCGTCTGGGGGCGTATCAAGTCCTTCAACGGCAAGAGGCACGTCGGCGCCCACTTTCTGCGCGCCGTCACCGACTTCAACGAGGTCAACTACCACCTGCTCGAGAGCACCTACGTCCACCTCTTCTTCACCAAGGGGCCCCTCGGCGGTGCCAAGGCCGAGGACAACGGCGACGGCATGTTTGTCGACGGCGGCGGCCACGGCAACAACACCAGCAACAACAACAACGCATCACACGCCACCGGCCAGTCGAGCAAGGTCGCCCAGTGCACGCCCATGGGCCAGAAGATGTACAACTTCCTCGTCAACGCGCCGGGCGGCAACGAGGGCGTGCACATGAATGTCATTGCGAGCGGCGCCGGCATGAGCATGCGCGACGTCCTCGGCGCCGCCGACGACCTACTCGGCCAGGGGCTCGTGTATACCACCATCGACGATGAGACGTGGGGCCATTCTCGAGTATTTGAGCGGGTGGCGGTCGGGTGACCTTTGCACGGTGGGAATGCCTGCAGCGTGGACAAGGTATGGATCACAATTTTTGATCATGTTTTTGTTTTGAGCACGAGGCGATAGCATTCGATATGACCTGAATGAATGAAAGGCCTTGAACCGGCCGAGTCTAGACTAATGACCAATCGAGCTGTTCCAGCAACAAGTGTTCTGCAGTAATGACGGTGCCAAAATGCAATGCCATGCACAGCAAACAGGAACGAATGTGACAAAGAGACGGCGCAGCAGACACACCGATCCAGAGGCACCATAAAATCAAAAGACAGATCAAAACGTCAAACGAAAACGGGGAAGCAGCCGGAACACCCTAGCGCAGGCGGATTTCATCTGGACCTTGGACGGCCAGCGTATAACGGGCTTTCTGCTTTCACCCAGCTGCGGGTTCCCGGCACAATGATGGAAAAGGGGCACAGGCCGCACCGCTGCCCCTGAGGTAAAATATCCTTTCTTGAATTTCAAAGCAAAACTTTGGCGTAGTAAGGCATTGTTTGCCCGGCGAGCTCGATTCGAGATACATGGGACGGCCCTCGGCGTCGGCCTGCGCGCGCTGTCAGTCAAACGTCCGCCACCTGCCTTTCGGCTCGCCTGACGAGAAAACGCCAGAAAACTCACCCGCGCAATCATGTCGTTGAGCAGCTTGCCCGCGTACCCCCTCTTGCGCGCGTTCGGCTTGGTGCCGATGTACACGAGGTAGTAGCACTCGGCGTCCCGCGCGCCCATGACCTCGGCCTTGGCGTCGTGCAGCAGCGGGAGGAAGTCGTCGTTGTACCGCCTCCGCGCCTCGGGCGTCAGCCGGTAGGCGAGCCGCCAGAGGCCCGAGCGGAAGAGGTTGAGCCAGCCGTCCGTGTCCTTGCCGGGCGGGACCCTGTCTTCTTCGTCAGCTTCTCTTCCTTCCGCCGCTTTGTGTCCAGCACACACAGCCCGGGGGGGCGTTACCCACCACAGTGCGACGGCGTCGTGGTCCGGCCCAATGGTCGTGACGAGGCCGTCGAGGGCGTGCGCCGTCGTGATGTACGTCATCATGTCGACGTGGAGTTTCCACTTGTGCTCGGCCGAGCGGGCCGCCATGTCGTCGACGTCGAGAAGGTAGCGGCTCGACGCGTCGGACGCGAACGAGTGCGCCAGCGACAGGCCGGCCTGCTTGCTCTCGGCGACGGCCACGGCGCGCACCGTGTCCGCCCAGCGCGGGGGCACGAGCGACGGGCGCGGCTCGGCGACGAGGGTCGCGAGGCTGGACTTGCTCAGGGGGGTCTCCATGATGGTGGCGGCTTAGGCGGTCAGGAGACTTGCGTCTTGACGATGGAGCGAGACACCATGGTCAGCATTTCGGCACGGGGAGGCACGGCAGTACGGATGGGGCTGTCGTCTCACTGGGTAAATTCTGTATACTGTCGCCTGTATGGACTCTCGAGAGTTGCGTTCTCGAGACAGGCATGAACCTGGATGGGTGACGCAGGCAGTTCAGGCTTGTGCGGAGTTCAACCGACATCAAGGCTTTGAGGCCCTCGGCGGTGGCTATGTGCGATATGTAGTGGAGCGGTGGCCGGCGGGACTGGTGACTCGTCCAGGCGGATCTGACGATGACGTAGAGATGGTGGTATTGGTGGAAGCAGTTGTGTGATGGATTGAACTATCGTGAGATCCCTCAGTCGGTACGTGTATCCTGTTGTTAATGTCACAACCGAAGTGTGCAGATGGAGGAGGCCCGCGAGGAGCACTCGGTGGTCTATACTATTCCTGAATCCAGACGTGAAGAAACTCAGGTGGTAAGAAAGCAAAAGGAGAGCCAGATGACCGAGCCTAACCAATCCATTATGTACTTGAGGGTCGTGTCACGAGGCGGCGGAGAGGGGAACGAGGACGGGTGAAACATGACCATTGACGGGTCACCACTGCGATCCCTTTCTGCAGGATGGACCGGAGAGACAGAGACCCTGGGATCTGACAGGCTGGGAGACATGGCTGACGAGCATGACACTGCAGGCGGCACCGTGGGATATGTGTGATGTAGCAGCCCATGCCTGGAGAGATGTGCAGAGTGAGGCGTCGAGCTGGACGTGCGCGAGTGTCCCGCCAACGGGACGAGGCCGCGGATGTACCGTCCCGTAGCCTCGCTGGCAGAGCAGCACATGGTTGTGCGCTCAGAATCATTCCTCTAGGCTGAACGTTCGGCAGCGTCCACCAGGTGGTAGTTCAAAGAACGCTCCATCTGTCCGAGCTTTGTCAACCCGACCCCCCCCAAGGGCGAAGGTGGCACTGATGCTCTCCGGAATCCAAGTTGGGGGTCCGCAGACGCCAATGTGCGAGGCGCCTCGCCAGCGGCGTTGGGGAAGGCTGCGGACGAACCACCGACGTTTGTGGCAGCATATCGCATGCATGAAGTCAGGCGATGCCGTCACGCCTGGATCCGCAATTGTTGAGCCAAACAGACGGCCCTCGGGCTGCATATGCAGATGGAACAGGGACGAGGAAGGATGAGGCGGACGGGTGATGAGTGGCGATGCGAATGTCTTACTCTTCACCTTGTTCAGGGTTGTTCACCAGGGTGAACAGGGTTGATGCGTGGAACTCGTCACTTTTGCTTTTCATTTTTTTTGGGGGGTGCCCGACGTGGCCTACGTACCGTCTGCAATCGCCAGCTTCGATAACCTCTGCGTGTCGACCTCTTCGGTCTCTGGTGTCCGGTCTTGCTCGAGTGTGTTGCCGGCTGCGTCTATCGCTGTGCTTTCCGTCTCTTCGCTGCCAAAACCCTCCTGCTCCTCGTCTTCGTCACCATCTTCGTCGTCGTCATCGTCGTCATCGTCTTGACCCCCATTCTGTTCCTTGAGCGTCTCCTGCTCACGAATCGCCTTTTCGAGATCCTTGGCCATCTTCTTCGTGAAGCCGGACGCTTCGGCAGCGGCGTCCAATCGCCGCACGCCGTCCCTCCCCAGCGTCTTCTTCGCATCCTTGAAGAACGGCCCCGGCGTTGTGCTGACAAAGTCGAACTTGCGTTCGAAGAAGCGCTTGATGCAGTTGACATCGCGGTCAAAGTACATCTCGGCGTTGACGTGGTCCATGGAGACCATCTGCGGGAAGTCAATGACAATGGGCACCAGGGTGATTGTCTCCTTCTCCTCGCCAGCCTCGGTGAACTCGACGGAAGACACTTCCTTGATGAGGAGGTTGAATTCGTTGAAGTCGCCGTGAATGAGACCGTGCTTGGCGAATCGAAGGATGAGGTCGATCAAGTCGCCATACAGCGTCGCCGGGTCGGGCACTGCCGAGATTTGACGCATCAGAGTCGAGTCGACAAACTCCATGAGAACCGTGTGCCTTGACTGCGCAATAGGCTCCGGGATCGGGAACCCTTCTTCGCGGAGGACCTTCATAAATGCAAACTCCTTCATGGCGGCCAGTCGCGACAGGTATTGCCAGGATCCCGACTGGCGGTTCTTGAGATAGTCTCGGTTTGTCTTGACGGACCTGAACGAGATGCGTCCAAGGCGATGGATCTTGAGAATCTTCTGAACGCCCTCATGGTCTGCCACCATCGTAATGTCGCTCTCTTTTCCTACGCCAACGCGGCTTCCCACGCTGTAGATCTCCTTGCGTTTTGAGAGGTCGTGAAGGGCAAGGTAGTCGAAGCCACCGTATGTGAAGCGGTATCCGTCATACTTGGCCTCCTTGACACGCGCTATGAGACCAACTTTGGCGAGGGCCGAGATGGACCTGTGAACGCCGTTGACACCGCCCTTTACGCGAGCATACTTCTCAATCAGTGATGTTGGCACGAGCTCGTGGTCTCGGCTCCCACGCTCAACCTGCAGTTCCTGTCAGTTGGGCAGAACGAGATGGCAAGGAGGGGGACTGGGGCATGGGGACGAACAGCAGCGAGGACGTTCCAGTCCTCGGATGCAAGATACCGCAGTGCCTTGGTATCGAGCTTCATGATGCGTGGCCTGAAAGCGTTCGAATTCTCAAAATAGTTTGGCTCGATGCCTATATAGATTGATGAACAACGATCTGCAGTCTCATCAACGAGATCTCTCACAGAGCGTCACAAAAAAGTTGGTGGGGGTTCAGGCTGGTATCGATAAGCGCACCCATCCAGGTCCTGCTGAGGGGTGTGTGGGTACTCCTTCTGTGCTGACTAAATCCACGTGACTTCGACTCTCCAGCTCCCTGCCAATGCACGGTCCAGCGATGGCAGGCGGCAAGGCTCGCGTAACGCAGTAGCTGTTGTTACGGAGCTTGAGAAAGCTCCATTGCCTTCCATCATCACCGTCCACCGTCATTCCTCACTTTGCTCGCCTTCACACGAACACTCACGTCGCTACCATCGTATACCCCCGGACCAGCAGACTTGAACAGAGCGACTCGGCGCTCGGAAAGTTCTCGCACCTAGTCCTGTTACGCAACTGCGCCCCTCATTCGATCCCTGCCCGCCCTACAACCACCGCAAGAGTCGAACATCATGGCCCCGGATCCTGAGAAGCCCACGGCCGCCGACAAGGGCAAGGGCAAGGCCGTTGAAGAACCCAAGAGTGACAAGCCTGTTGCGAACGGCAAGAAGGAGGATGGCAAGATCATCGACTGTAAGAGCTCACAGATAGTCGGTGACGAGACCGCGCCGGCGTTGGCTGACTGACCTGTTTGCAGCGGCAGAGGAGCTCAGCGAGGAGGACCAGCAACTGAAGAACGAGCTTGACATGCTGGTTGAGCGTCTGACTGTATGTCACTAGCCACCTCTTCTTCGTCAGCGTAGCCCGCACGCACTAACGAGATGGCTAGGAATCCGATGCGTCCCTCTACAAACCGGCTCTCGAGGCCATGAAGACATCTATCAAGACTTCAACTTCTTCAATGACCGCCGTACCAAAACCATTGAAATTCCTGCGACCGCACTACGAGACTTTGACGAAGCTCCAAGAAGACTGGCCAGAGGGTGACGACAAGACGTCTCTCGCCGATGTCCTCTCCGTGATCGGCATGACCTTCTCAGACGAAGAGAGACAGGACACCCTGAAGTATCGACTTCTCGCGCCATCGTCAGACATTATTTCATGGGGCCACGAGTACTCGCGCCACTTGGCTCTGGAGATCGGAGAGGTCTACGGGAAGCGCATAGTCGCAGATGAGGACACGAAGGATCTGGTCGATCTCGCCCTCATTCTCGTGCCTACGTTCTTGCAAAGTAACGGAGAGGCCGATGCCGTCGATCTCATGAGCGAGCTCGAGATTATCGAGCAGCTGCCCAACTATGTCGACGAGAACACGTATGCCCGCGTGTGCCTGTACATGGTCAGCATGGTCAACCTCCTCACGTACCCAGACAACGAGCTCTTCCTCAAGACGGCCCACGATATCTACATCACGTACAAGCAGTATACGCAGGCTATGGTGCTGGCCATTCGACTGAACGATATTGATCTCATCAAGGCCGATTTCGACAAGGCACAGGACCCTGCACTGAAGAAGCAGCTCGGTTTCCTGGTCGCGCGCCAGCGCATCATGCTCGAGCTTCCTGACGAGATTGTGGGCGATGACCAGGAGCTTCAGGATTCGCTCACGAACATTAAGTTGTCGGAGCACTTCAAGTCCCTCGGTAAGGAGCTCAACATTCTCGAGCCCAAGACGACAGAGGACATCTACAAGAGCCACCTCGAGAGCAGCCGCGTTGCCGGTATGACGAACCTCGACTCTGCACGACACAACCTTGCAGCAGCCTTTGTAAACGGCTTCGTCAACGCTGGCTTCGGAAACGATAAGATGATGCTCGTGGAGGAAGACAAGGAGAGCTGGGTCTGGAAGACCAAAGGCGACGGCATGATGTCGACGGTTGCCTCGTTGGGCACTCTTCTTCAGTGGGATGTTGAGAATGCGCTCGATAAGATTGACAAGTACACCTACGCGCAAGAGCCCGAGATCATGGCCGGCGCCATGCTGGCAATCGGCATTACGAACACCGGTGTGCGCCTGGACAGCGAGCCTGCTCTGGCCCTCCTTGGCGACAATGATAAGCTGAGGAACCCGGATACGAACCCTCTGGTCACCACCGCCTGTCTCATGGGTCTTGGTCTGTCCTACGCAGGTTCCAATAAGGAGGACCTGCTCGAGATTCTTCTTCCCATCATCACCGACTCCTCCGTTGAGATGCGCATTTCTGCCATGGCCGCGCTGTCTTGCGGTCTGATCTTTGTTGGCTCTTCCAACCCCGAGGTCAGCGAGGCGATCGTCACCACTATGCTTGATGATGAGCGCAGGGACCAGCTCACCTCCAAGTGGACCAGATTCATGGCCCTTGGCCTGGGCCTGCTCTTCTTCGGCCGCCAGGAGGAGGTGGATGTCATCCTGGAGACTCTCAAGGCTGTCGACCATCCCATGTCCAAGCCTACCGCTGTCCTGGCTGAGATTTGCGCCTGGGCTGGTACGGGTGCCGTCCTCAAGATCCAGGAGCTGCTGCACATCTGCAACGAGCACATGGAGGAGGCCGAAGAGAAGAAGGGTGATGAGCTCACGCAAGCGTACGCTGTTCTGGGTATTGCGCTTGTGGCCATGGGCGAGGATGTCGGCCAGGAGATGGTCCTGCGACACTTCGGACACCTGATGCACTACGGCGAGCCGAACATCAGGCGCGCCGTGCCCCTGGCGCTGGGTCTGATCAGCCCAAGCAACCCGCAAATGAAGATTTACGACACCCTCTCACGATACAGCCACGACAATGACAGCGACGTTGCGATCAATGCCATCTTCGCCATGGGTCTTTTGGGTGCGGGCACGAACAACGCGAGACTGGCGCAGCTCCTGCGACAGCTCGCCAGCTTCTACCACCGCGACCAGGAGTCTCTCTTCATGGTGCGCATCGCACAGGGCCTCTTGCACATGGGCAAGGGTACCATGTCAGTCAACCCCTTCCACACCGACAGGCAGGTGCTCTCACGCGTGTCGGCTGGTGGTATCCTGGCGGTGCTCGTGGCCATGATTGATGCCAAGTCATTCATCACGTCAGACTCGCACTACCTGCTCTACTTCCTGGTGACAGCCATGCACCCCAGGTTCCTGGTCACGCTGGGCGAGGACCTCAAGCCTCTCAAGGTCAACGTCCGCGTCGCCAGGCCGTGGATGTCGTTGGCCAGGCCGGCCGTCCCAAGACCATCACGGGCTGGCAGACGCAGAGCACGCCCGTCGTGCTGGCGTACGGTGAGCGGGCGGAGCTTGAAGACGAGGAGTACATCAGCCTGAACAGCACGCTGGAGGGTCTCGTCATTCTCAAGAAGGTAAGCACAGCCCCGTTCATCGGGTCTCAGACTCGAATAAAGCAAGAGAAACAATTGCTAATCCGGACCAACAGAACCCTGACTGGGAGGGTGCCAAATAGTAGCCGGCTTTTGCAGGGGGGAGAAGGGCGGCTGGACGAATGATTCGGTTTGGTTTTTTTGGCGGGAGACACAAAGGGGTCTGGGCATCTTGCGGGTCCCCTGGCGCGACATGCTGTATAATACATGTAATTGTGACGGGTTGCGCCTCACACAGAGAGCCGCACCGAGGGCAATTGACCATGATAGACGTTCATTGAGGCTGACAGTCGTGATGATGCTGCGTCGTCCGTTGCTTGCAATGCCCGTTCGGCCTATCCTGTGGCACGAAAGAAAGCCCTGGTGTGGACAGCGCTGGCTGCGATAAGCTAGCCCAGCCAAGTCGTTCTCTAGAACGTCATGATGATCCGGCATCTTTCTGTCTGTGTCGCGAGCATGGCGGCCGGGTATGTGAACGACTCCATCTTGCGAAACACGCCGCCAGGGCAGGGTTGCTCATGCATTGGAAGCTGAGTCAACAATCTCAAGTCAGCCAGCCTTCGATGGAGAGGCGTCCCGGGCCGTACCGTGTTCGGCATGGATCTCCCCGGTGATCCAACATGCGCGTGAGATGTCGGGCACGATTTTACACAGACAACAGTCAGTCCTTCGACAGGCTCATAGGGTGCCTGGCCTATCCCCTGTCCTGGCCAGCGGGCCGACTGACGCCTTTGTCTGAGAGGTGCGACTTCGTACTGGTGCTGTAGGGAGCGCGATACTCCAGTTTGGAGTCTCTGCCGGCCGGCTGTCGCGTTCGGCCATGACAGGCCGTGCTCTCGCGCCTGAGAGCCCGCTCAGGATATATAAAAGGCGATGACAGCAGCCCTATTGGGATCGGTTTCTCATTCAACAAACACCAAGCACTCATCATCCATCAACCCTGCCATTTCCTCACTCATACTCAAGATGAAAGCGACAGCGACCCTACTCCTCCTGTGCATCGGCACTGCACTGGCGACCCCTCAACCCGACGCAGTAGAGGAGCGTCAGTTCAGAAACTCGGGAGGCTGCAGGGTCCCCGAATTCCACTGCCAGGAGCGTCTCAAGATCAGAGAAACAATCGCCAGTCTCGAAAACAGAGTCGCCCAGCTGGAACAGCAGAAGCAGTAGGCCGCAAGCTGCCTCGACATGCGGCACAGGTCAGGACTCTAGCCCTCGTCGACGCAAACTCGACACTGACATGGTGATTCTCTCACAGGTCCTCGATACGCCGACGCTGTTCTGTTCTGTCACGGGGATGCCGGAGGCGGTTTTGGGCACTATGGACGCAAGGGCTGTGTCGTCTTTCTCTTTGTCGTCCAAGGAAGGACCGAGTCGAGACGTCGTCGGCACATCCTCTACAGAGGTAGTCGCGTCTGGCTCACTCGTCATGCCACGGGCAGCGGGTATCTTGCTACCTGTCATACAAATCGAATTATCAGTACCCAACGCATGCCCTATGTTTCGTGCACATGACGCATCTTGCCGTTGACGGTGCTTCCTGACGTAGCCACTCACGCAGAGCATTGGCAAGACAACGTGGTGTCAGCGAATTTGACGGAGGCGCTTTCGTGGCCCCTGGCGTCCGCTGTCCTGTGCCCGTTCCAACGTGGTGCCCGAACCCGTGTCGTGTCATGCTACGTATCCTACACTGGACCTGGCTCGCCGCGGCGAATGGCTGGCTGAAGGATGTCTCGACATGTCCAACAAACCTCTGGGGAGTATAGAGTTTTGGTCCAAGAATCTCTTGATCAGGAGATCCAGAGGGGGCTTCAAATGTCCCATGGGGGCAATTTCTGGCGCAGCAATCGAGGTCCAAAGCCCGATCGTTAGCATGCGAGCATGGCAGGGAGGCTTGATATGGAGTGGGAAGTCTCTCAGGTTGTTCCACCCCAGGGAGGAAGGGGGGGGGGAGGCGAAAAGAAAGGCGTGAGATGGGCTTTGGGTTTCGTTTTAGTTAGACATATAGGGTCTTCTCACTCGGTGTGGTCCTCGAACGGTGGTCCTAGTCCGAGTGAGGATCTATAGGGTGCATCATCAAATGAGTCGAGGCTCCTTTGACGCAATGCCTTCACTGCAATTGAGACTGACGGGCCCACTACAGAAGGACGTTAGAAACGGTGGGCCGTTAGTCACGGGCCGTCCAACGCCCCGCAGAACGGTGCCAGGCCCTGGTCCAGTCCTGGTCCAGTCCTGTGTCCAGTGCAGAGCCAGGCTGAAGCTAACCCCAACATCGACATCGTCGCTCACATCCAACGCTCTTAGCTGCATGGCCTGGTGGGCCATCCGTGGGGTGCTTCCCCGAGATCTATTGACTCAATGCAACTTGCCCGACCTCCTTCCCGTCTTACTCGTTGGCTTCACACCTGATCGTTCTATCAGGGGCCTCTTCATCTTGCTCTTCCCGTCTGGCGTCTCAACTTTGAGTCACACTGCTTTGCTTTTGCGTCGCCAGCCTCCACCATCGATGATGCTCTCCTGACAACTGAGCCTTTGACAGCCTCCTCTTCTCTCTCTCGCTCTTTCACGTGCGCCCTCTCGCGAACCTTGGACCTCACCGCGCTCAGCTCACGTCATTTGTCTCTTCATCCGGACCCCTCGACAGCCATAGCCATGGCCGATGGCCGTCCCATACCGCCCAAGGCCTCGAGCCGTGAACATCCCTTTTCCTCATCATGGACTGGCGGAGGATCCTGGATCGGCACGCCGCGCGCCGAGGATATTGTCGCACGCGATCTGGCCGAGCTCTCCGAGGACGACGACGCCATGGACAATGCCATCGACTCGGACAGCGACTTGTCCGCTGACGAAGGGCCAACGCTGTACCGTCGACCCAGCGGCGTCGCCTATGGCACATCGAGGCCCGTCATGAATCCGCAGACCAACCCCGAAAGCACCCCATTTCTCACACGTGTCGAGAAGAAGCAGAGCCGTGACGCCGAGAGGAGCCTGTTACGGGACAATCATGTGCTGCCGCCCAAGAGGCCGCGGGGCCCAGACGAGCCGTTCTATCGCAGGGCGTACCGCCGTCTCTTCAGCACAAAGGTGCCCCGGCAGACGCAGGACGACGAAGAGACGCCGGACGAGGCGACGCCCCTGCTCGTCGGCGCCGACACGCCAGCTGCAGCGGCCAGCAGCAGCGCACATGCCGCCGCCGCCGCCGCCGCCGACGGCCCCGAGAACCTGACAGAGCAATGGGAAGCGGCTGTCGCTTCGGGCACCCTACGCACGACGTGGCAGCGCGAGGCCAAGACCATCATCTCCTACGCTCTGCCCCTGGTCGGCACCTTTATGCTGCAGTACTCGATCAATGTCGTGTCCATCTTCACCGTCGGCCGCATCGGCCGCCTCGAGCTCGGCGCCGTCAGCCTCGCCACCATGACGGCGACCATCACCTGCTACGCGCCCTTCCAGGGCCTCGCCACCTCGCTCGACACGCTCTGCGCCCAGGCCTACGGCTCCGGCCACCGCCACCTCGTCGGCCTGCAGCTGCAACGCATGATCTTCTTCCTGCTGCTCTCCTTCCTCCCCGTCGCTGTGCTGTGGTACCACTCGGACGCCGTGCTGGCCCTCATGATCCCCGAGCCCGAGTCGGCGCGCCTCGTGGGCCAGTATCTGCGCGTCCTCATCTTCGGCGGCCCCGCCTTTGTCTGCTTTGAGGGCGGCAAGCGCTTCGTGCAGGCGCAGGGCCTCTTCCAGGCGACGACCTGGGTCCTCCTTGTCGTCGCGCCCTTCAACGTCTTCATCAACTGGTTCCTCGTCTGGCACATGGAGCTCGGCTACATCGGCGCGCCCATCGCCTCGACCATCACCCAGAACCTGCTGCCGCTGTGCCTGCTGCTCTACGTCCGCTTCGTCGACGGCCGCCAGTGCTGGGGCGGCTTCAGCCGCCGCGCCTTCAGCAACTGGGGCGCCATGTTGTGGCTCGCGCTGCCGGGCATGATCATGATCCAGGCTGAGTACATGGCCTTCGAGGTCCTGACGCTCTTCTCGAGCCGCTTCGGCGCCAGCTACCTCGCCGCCCAGAGCGTGCTCGTCACCCTGACGGCCATCAGCTACCAGATCCCCTTCCCCATCTCCATTGCCGCCTCGACCCGCATCGCCAACCTCATCGGCGCCGGCCTCGTCGACGCCGCCAAGACGACGGGCCGCGTCGCCACCATAGCCGCCCTCACCTCAGGCGTCTTCAACTTCATCCTCTTCAGCTCCCTGCGCTACCACCTGCCGCTGCTCTTCACCGACGACGACGAGGTCATTGAGATTGTCGCCGCCGTGCTGCCCATCTGCGCCGCCATGATGGTCTTCGACGGCCTCAGCACCGGCGCCCACGGCCTGCTGCGCGGCATCGGGCGCCCCTCCATCGGAGGCTACGCCGGCATCTCCGTCTACTACCTCATCGCGCTGCCCGTGTCGCTGGGCACGGCCTTTGGGCTCGGCTGGAAGCTGTCTGGCCTGTGGTTCGGCGTCACCATCGGACTGCTGCTGTGAGTTCACCTCTTTTTCCGGGACGCATGATGATGAGATGACCAAGGCTAATTGCAAATTCTAGTGTGTCTGTGATTGAGTACACCTTTGTATACCTCACCGACTGGCACAGGGCTGCGCGGGAGGCCGAGAGGCGCAACGCCGCTGGGTGATGTCTCAATTTGGGACGGAGAAGAATCTGGCATGGTCATGTGTGCATGGATCACTCCTCTTGTTTCACGCGATTCCGTAGCGGTACGAATGAGCATCAAACATTCTTGGACATAGCAATTGGACTGAAGATCTTAACCCTTTCCCCCCTGATGTTCGTCATTTTGCTCGACCAGCGTTACATGGAGGCTACACTGACTTCTGTACACTTACCGATGCCCGTCTTCGGTTCTTATCGGGTCAAACGTCGAGAGGGGCAGCTAGTGCGATAAGGTACCGTCAGGGGTCCGCGGCGCTGAAAAACGGAAAATTGGGGGCGGCGGCGGGCCATTGAACGCGGGGGCCAACACTGGACGGCTCGACCCCTCCTCCTGGGCTGTACCTTATTCGACGTGCTTGGTGATTCTCCCCTTTCGATAAAAAGCGAACACCACGAACTCCCTCACCGCAGGCGCACAAAAAGCTCGCCCGCCCACCTGCTGTTCGCCGATTGCGTGTTTCTTCTCCTCCTTCTCGCCTCTCTCTGCGTTTTCGTCTAGAACGCCTACCGGCCTTTGCCCCGAAGCAAGCAGCCATGTCGACCACCACGACCACGACCACGACCACGTCTGCGGACCCCATCACCGCCGAGTCCATCCTGCGCCTGTTCCCCGACATTGACACGAGCACCGAGGCCCTCTCCGGCCACGATGAGGAGCAGATCCGCCTCATGGACGAGGTCTGCATCGTCCTCGACGAGAACGACAAGCCCATCGGCAACGCCAGCAAGAAAGCCTGTAATGCGCCCCCGTCCCCGTCCCCCCCGTCCTCCTTGCATACACACACACACACACCCATCGCGTGACAGCTCTGGCTAACCGCTGCACTCGAACGCCCAGGCCACCTCATGACCAACATCGACAAGGGCCTCCTGCACCGCGCCTTCTCCGTCTTCCTCTTCGACGACCAGAACCGCCTGCTGCTGCAGCAGCGCGCCTCGGAGAAGATCACCTTCCCCGACATGTGGACCAACACGTGCTGCTCGCACCCGCTGGGCATCCCCGGCGAGGGCGGCGTCGCCCTCGCTGACGCCGTCGCCGGCGTCAAGCGCGCCGCCCAGCGCAAGCTCGAGCACGAGCTCGGCATCCCGATCGAGCAGGTGCCCACCGAGCTCTTCCGCTTTCCTGACCCGCATCCACTACAAGGCGCCCCAGCGACGGCAAGTGGGGTGAAGCACGAGAGTATGTACCCCCTTCCTCTTCTTCCCCTTCTGTCTGCCTTTCTCCCCCCCCCCTCTCCTGTTGTGTTTGCTAGAGAGCGACGGCTGACAGGCACCCAAGTCGACTACATCCTCTTCATCAAGGCCAACGTCACCCTCGACGTCAACAAGAACGAGGTCCAGGCCACGCAGTACGTCTCGCCCGACGAGCTCAAGGCCCTCTTCCAGGACCCCAAGCTCGTCTTCACTCCCTGGTTCAAGCTCATCTGCGAGACCATGCTGTTCGAGTGGTGGGCGCACCTCGACGCCGGCCTCGAACCGTACATGAACGAGCAGGAGATCCGCCGCATGTGATCTGCCTTCTTTTTTTTGGGGGGGGGGGTGGGGGGGGTCAACAGGAGAAACTGCTCCCCTACAAGAGAAGGAAGAGACGAAGAAACGGCCTCGGTACGATCTTGACAAAGGTGGAGCGGGAAAGGAGAGGGAGGACCGCCGGAGACGAGAGGATGGCATCAAGGGCGGTGGAAAAGGGACGCGGCACGCAGAGTCATGTGAAAGGGGGACCGACGATGGATGCCCGCATGACCCGAGCGCCAGGGAGGTGGCATCTGCTAACATCTTATTTTGCTATAGTATTCGTCTGATCGCTTGATATCCCCCCTTTTCAAAACACGTACCACCCGCACATAGCATCCTCCCCCAGCATGTCTGCTGCCGGGGAAGCCAGCCCAATACATCAACTGATTCAGAAACGAGATTCAAATGGCGCCGGCTTCTCGCTGGTCTCTTCTCTTGGTTGAGTCCTGTGTTGCCAAGTCGCGAACTGAGCCGCCGAAGCATACATACTCTTCAAATACAAGCACGCCATACCCCTCATCAGACAGTCCGCCTCAAGCACAGCTTCTCAGGGTATGGTCATCCTTACAGACGCTACGCAACTGAGGGGAGCCCTATTCCAGTCGTCATTCCGTGCGAAGCGATCCACGAGACCAACCACATGGCAGCCGATGGCTCAAAGAATAATAACATGGCTACGTTTCGCCTTCCTGCCAGATCAATGACATCGAGCCTTACGTTTTTTCTTGAGGTCCAGAGTAATGGACTTCAACGCAACCGTCGCCGACCAACACTATCTGCAGAACTGGGAACGAGGGTGACGATATTAGTGTCTCTTCTGCCTTGGCTTGTCTGGCCAGGAAACGCTAAAGTACAGGCGGGGCGAACATGCCCCAAGTAAGCACAATGCCTCAAGACTATCAACTATCTCAGAACAAAATCATGTTCCGTGATCACAATGATACTGCCAATTATCCGCGACGCCAGGGCTCGCCCTTCCAACAGAGCAAAAGCTGTTAACCGCCAGTTCATGTCCACACACCAGGCATTTCACAGCCCATAATGCTTCATATACTCCCAAAAAAACACTTTGATGCAACTTACTCACGATCTTTTGACGGCTGGAGATGACTGCGTGCTGTTGACAATCGTCTTGGATTTGGCAGGCGTCGTGGCGAGCTCGTTGCCGTCCTCCGAAGAGGCGATCGCGACCAGGGTGGCCTCGGCGGCAGACCTACGGCAGCTTGTCAGCATTCAAAGTATGCTCAAATGTCTATGACGGGAGCTGTACTGGGCCTGTCCATGTCCGTGAACACTGCCAGCATCATGGTTCTTAGAGCCGGATGACGAGACATCACGATCTGTGCTGCGATCCATGCCTTGAAGGCTACGATGGGCCGAGGTCCTGTTTGACGAGATTAGCATCACCAATTGACAGATGCAGAGAGGAAATTAACCCACGTAGTAGACGAGGTAGGGATGGAACGCTTCCATGCAGGCTGATTATACATGTTGGGCTGCATTCCAACGAGAGGGGTGCCGTAGGCACCGATATTGTACTCATTGGTACGGAATTGGCGGCGCTCAGCAGTCACACGCTTCAGCTCCTTCTGCGAGGGAGTGTCGGCGTAGCGAATGTTCATCAAAAGACCCTCGTCGCCGACGCCAATGCCATTATACTCCTTGATAACCTCGTCGCAAACATCGCGTGATTCAAAACTGCGATCAGTGTCAGATGTGTTTGTGGACAAAAAAGTGCAGGCTACCATACCGAGCGAAGCCAACACCGCGGCTGTTGCCCATGCTGTCGCGCAAGATCTTGCTGGACAAGATGGTGTAACCCATGAAAATGGCACCCAGCTCCTGTCATTGTGTAAGCGGAAAGGCAAGTGTCACCACGAGCTGATTCAATATGACTTACGACTTCTGTCAGGCTCTTAGGGAGATTTGAGATGTAGAGGTTGGTCGATCCCTCATCGCCCTCTGCCTTGAGACGAGAGTTGAACGACTCCTAAAGATAGTCATCAGACACAAAATAACCATAAAGGGGGAGTGAATAGCTTACACGCGCAAAGCCGACCTCGTATCCAAGGCGATGGAAGCCACGAATGCACACTTCGGAATCCCGGGCGTCATAGAATTTGGCAAAGCCAAAGCTGTACAGGTGTCAAATGAATGCTCTGTAAAACACGCACAATACTTACCCCTTGCAGGCACCAGTTGAAGTGTCTATGATCGCCTTGGAGGTTTCAACGTCTCCGAAGCGAGCAGCATAATGGAAGAGCAGCTCGTCATCGGTGGTGGGGTGTAAACCACGAATGTAGACATTGCGATTGCCGGGAATGCGGTTCTCCAGACTTTGGTCGAGTGACTTCATCTGCGCAGCGGGGGTGAAGACGGCTGGGACAGCCTTGGGAATCGGAGGGTCCTGGCGGAGAAGTTCATCCAGGTTGCGGTCAACCGGGATAGCAATGACGTTCTGCTTCACTGCAGGGTCAGGGAATACATTGATAGGTCCAAGCTGCTGGGGCGAAGGGGTCGTGTATGTCGACCGGTCATGAACGGCGACCCGAGGACCGTGATCATGCTTAGCCATGGTCTGGTAGAAGGGCGTAGCAGGAGTGGACTCGTTGGTGGAGTAGGAACCACGTCGATTCTCGAGTCCAGGGGCCTCGCTGTGGCCAGCACGATTGGTGCGGTCCTGGAGAGCAGCAGCACGACCAGGTGTGAAAGGCATCATGGGGTAAGGAGCATAAGAGCCGCCGACGGGAGCAATGTGATAGGCACCGGCATGTCCGTAAGGATTGGGGTGTCCGAGGTGGTCAAGGCCAATGTGTCCAGCAGCAATGTGAGCCAGCATGTAAGGGCCTTCCTGGGTCTGAGGTACCATGTACGGCATTCCGGTATTCATCTGGCCCATGGCAGGATGGCCAAGAGTCATGTTCTGGAACTGGCTGATGGCGTTGTGAACGGGATCACTAGCGATGTTCTCGCTGTACTGGTGGCCGTGGCCGCCGCCGCCATGATACGTGGCCGCATGCTTGGGGTCCATGGCAGATGTCTGATAAGACATGGCGAGACGGTCTGTCCAAAGATTGAATTAGCGCTCATTCGTGGTACTAGAACGCAGGGGGTTGGCAAGATCCGCAATGCGTGGACGCTCAGTTCTGTCAGCACGTGAAGGCTCACTATTTCTTTTGAAGCACTGAACGAGCTCGTGTCGTGGATGAAAATGTCGGATCTGCGAGATCTAAGTTTGTGCACCGACTGTCAGCATATCACCCAGGACGATCCGGGATGAGTATAATGACCATGGCAGAAAAGGCGGAGATGGACGACAGGCGGCACTTGTGATAATTGATGAGAGCAAAAAAGGGGTGAACACTAGGTCGGGTGGTCTCATGTTCTGCAGTGAACAGGGTACCCGGTGAACAATACCAACAACAACAACACAGCAGAAAACACATGGTTCAGAAAAGAGAACAGGAAGCAAGGAAGAGCGAGCTGTCCACAGAAAGGATAGGTGGGACAATGGAGGACTCACCAATCACAATCTGGCGTGGGAGGCGGTAATTTGTTGAGCGGGCGTCCGAGAATTGGAGAGGACGGATGCTGCTACCAAAGACTCTGTGATGAAGCGAGTGATCAGTAAAAAAAGATAGGACGAGCTATCGGAGGAGCAATCGAGTCGAAGAGAATGGCTGAGAGAACGAGAGGGGATCCTGGGATGCGGTGATGCTGTGAAGAGAGGAGGAAGAAAGAAAACACGCAATGGGGGTGGCTCAAGACGAAAAGGAAGACGGATGCACATTATGCTGGCTCTCAAATCCGGGAAAGACTTACCTAGGTAACTATTACTGGGCTGTGCCTGGTTGCAATGGGGTGGTAACGGCGATGATGATGATGATGGCACTGACAACGGAAATGGCAATGCCAATGGTGATGGCAATGGATTCACCAATGAATTCGTAAGAATGCCAGCCAGCAAGGCTTGAGACTTGCAGATTGAGAAAGCACCTTCGGCTTCCTACCTTATGAAAGAGAGAAGAAGTGAAAGGAAGTATGTTGGCAGGATGCTGTCCAGGATGGCGGGCAAGAAGGAGAGGCGTTGAGCCAGGAGAAGGAAGACGATTGGGCTTGTGGAGTGGCGCCAGATGCCAGGGACAGGAAGGGTCAGGTGCGATACTTCTTTCCCCCCATGAAGCTGTTGGGTAGACCTTGCTGGACTCGCCTTCCTGATGCACGCTCTTGGATACTCGGGTTTTATGGTGATGATTTCGGCAATCGATCGAGCGGTCAGCAGCTACCTGAGGGTAGGCCGCACAATCGTGATAAGAGCGAAAGGAGCTGTTTAATTCTTGACAGCTTTTGACGGTGCTTCTTTCCTCGCTTTTCCAATGCTGTGCTAACACCGCTCTGCAGAATCACAGCGGCGAGCTTTCAAACAATTATGGCAGTTATTGTGGGAAAGACGACGCGACAGGCGTGTTGGTGCCTTCCTTTCATGTACTCATCTGCAACTCGTAAGTGCGTGTACCCAGAACGCTGTGTGATGAAATTAAGAGAAGCATCAACCTACTCGTCAACACGTTGAAGTCTGTAGGCTGATGATTGTGTAAGGAGACCAATGTAGGTTGCTCTGTTCGTTCGCAGCATCAATCTTTAGGGTGCTTTGTTGTTGAAGATGTGGGTAAGCACGTCCGACATACGAATTGATGATGTTGACACTTATTTTCCCTCAGGGAACTGGTGCCTCGTGGTCCTTCTCTTTGTTACCGAGCAACTCCAAAAAACAGTCATGTATGCCTAAATGGAGACGCGTCGTCCGTCGTCAGCGTCGTTCGTCGTATCGCTTGCCCTGGTGCCGATTCGGTCGAGTTTAACGGGCAAACCTTCCGATGAAGATGCAGGTTTCCAGGTGATCAACGATGGATGCTGCGGCTTCGTCACACTGAACCTGCTTCTAAGAATACTCCTTCAGCACCTCAAAGCAGAACGCCGTTTAGAGTAGTGATAGGTCACAAAAAAAAAGGTAGTCGTGCGATTCAGTGCAGCAAGCCGGTCGGAACAATTGATGGTTGACAGAGAGGCACATGTGGTGTCTATAAAGGGTCCGACACGAGGGTGGCATGCGTTTCTACCATGCCTTGCCCATGTTGCACCCAAGCGATCGCCCTCATCAAGACTACTCCCGAGGAGTAGCTTCCTTTTCTTCTTCACTTTCTTCTGTAGCCTGAGACAGGGGATCCCAATTCGAGAAACGGCACTGCGGCTGGCTGATGGAAGACCGCCGCGCATCACGCCCCGGCCCCTGCAGTTCTGTGGTGCCCAGATGGCCGGCTAGCCTTGGCGACGACCTGTTAGGGAGAGCACATCGCCCGGGAGAGCATCCGTCCTCCATTCTCTGGAAAGTGGAGGTGCTTCAGGTCGAACGTACCCAGCTCCGGCGGGGTTTGTCACCTTTACAAGCTCCCAACAATCATGCGGGCAGTCTTTCCACCGTGCATCGTCGCCAATCGCCAGCACTCAATGGCCTCAGTCTCAAACAGGGGGGGGGCAATTCCTAGGTGGCAGAGAGCAGTCCTTTGCGAGACTGCTAGCTCGTG